CCTGAGTGGACCTGTATTTTCACTAGCGGATTCACACCTTCAACTTAGCAGAGAGTCTCTGCTTATCCAGAACTTATATATCATGTCGGCCTTGCGGCCTCAGTTTGACCTAAGAAGAAGGTGGTTGCCCGAGTCCCCAAGGACCCAGCCTCCCCCTAGATCTGCCATTGATTCCCGTTGTCTCACGTACAACACTTCACTAGATCTGCGTTTCCGTCCACATACGGAGCACATGTCTGTTTGTTTTACATGCACTCCAACGAACTGGGGCAAAAAATATGTATCTTTCACTTCATCTTCCGCAAAAACTATGCCTCTATAGAGCAGCTAGCACGAAAAAAAAAAGCATTACACGTGCGTTTATGGCTTGTTCGTAAGGAATGAAACTGATTTTTTTCTGACAAATCAATTCAAGTGACGTGCTTTGAAGTTTAAAGATAATTAGAATCAGAAAGCAAATTTGTTTACGTCAAACTCCGCTTCCTCGTTATCAGGTCTTGTTATGCAGGCCGACACATGCCAACTGACTCCTTTTTTCCCAAACCATTCTGCCTGGGTTTCTCTGTACTGAGCTTCTTGGGAGCCATTTCATGGCCCAATCCATCACCACTAGCACCTGCCGCTCAGTAAGATTATCAAGAATGTTTATTTTGGCTTTTTCTTGATTGGTAGCTCTCACTATGTGCGATTTCCAGTCCATAATTCTTTCAGTGGCTTTCTCGATGTCATATTTGAGCTCTTCTTTCTGTTCCTGGTAACTGAAAAAAAAATTGATTTTGAAATAATGACAACGTTACAGAAAATGCTCTTTTGGAGATTTCACCAAGAGAGATGAGTACAGGGAAGAATGGAAAGGGAATGAATACTAATTGTTCGCGCTTTTTCACTTGTCTTGTGCATTGGCTGTTAACAATATATCGTACAATGAAGAAAGCCTTAGACAAAGGTTAAGGCACTTGTCGTAAGCGACAAACTTCTACTTTTTTGTTTGTTTGTTCTTGATGTCGTTGTTTCTTTTTTCCCGTGTAACAGACGCTAGGGACAAAGGTACCAACCTTAATGTTTGCAACAAAAAGCGCGGGTCGCGTTTTCCTTAAAGTCATAAATTTTTGGCATATGTCTAATAGTATGCAACTGTATTTTTTACCTAAACGAAATATCACCACTGTCTAGTCCAGCAATGATGTCGTGAGCTACGTTAGCACAGTCTAAACATCGATCACACTGCATAGTGTGTTCATGGTCACAGGCCGTTTTGTACTGGACATCATCGGATGATAGGGCGAATCGTATACAGTGATCAGCACAGGGACTTTCCTCCAACACATGAAGTTTGTAATCAGCTTTTAAGTATCGTTTAGCTGCTCGTACCCTTTGTCTAACGTTATCAGCCCACTGGAGAGATGAACCTACAGCAAGTACAAATAAATCGGCTTATACTCTAAATCTCACCTAGCAAAGTCATCTACAAGCGATCAAAAATTAAATAGGGCATAAAAGCAGAATAGACGGTGGGGTTGGTTACTAACTTACAGGTTGTAGGTTAAGGTGATTCCCTAGTTTTGCATTGCGCATCTCTTACTGCGCATAACAAGATGGCCTCCGTAAAAAAGAGCATGTGAAGTAACATTATTAAAATGAAGTCGACTGAAGAGAAACGCTATTGGAATTTTTACTTGCTGTTGTTTCTTGTCCAGGAAAGACTCAATGTGTTGGGAATGTGCATAACGTAAGCAGTACGCGTGTTAATGAGTTCGACTTCCTCACGGAGAACCTCGATAGTGGATGTTTAACTTGTGCTTACTCACTTTGATTTTCATTTAAACGCTTTCTTTATCACATTGTGTCCTTAATGTAATATCTCGATGTAAATTATGTAAAAACGGATTTTTTAATACTTTCTTCTCCCTTTACCATGCATTCTATTTGAAACTCGCCCCAGTCCTCTCTCAAAAATCGGAGAAAATGCATTTGGTACGCACTTTCTGCAACTCTACCGCAAAAACGAGTACGGTGACCCCCATTTTTTATTTCATGATTTTAATAAGGACAGTGCTTCCTTTCGATGAGAAAAAAATTGGCACAAATCTATGTTTAGTTTTTTGGCAATTTTACTAAATTGTACCGATTGAGCTATCAAGGGTCGAATAGCGCGTGTCTAATTTAATTCCACTTTAGAGCGTAAAGTAAAAACAAAAGCATTTTTCTGGTACGTAAGTGGATAAACCGTACATTAAAGTCAAATTCTGTGGGATACCACAAGCATCATCTAAAAAATATCTCCTTTTTGTCTAGTTTTGGCTGCCCGCGGTTTTTGTAAATGCTCCCAAATAGCCCTATTTGTCATCATTTTCACGTCAAAACGAGCACGGTGACCCCCACTTTTTATTACTTTTTTACCATCTTCTTGACTTGTTCAATCAGTGTACCAAGTTTCATCTACAATCTATGTTAGGTTCTATTACTAATGAATCACCTTAAGCGTACCTAGAGATGTCATAGTTTCTACAACCTTTTCCAATGTATCAAATGCTGATGCACCTTCGCTTGTGACGTTATCAAGGCCGGCAAGGGACTATTTCTGGGAAGCTGCACATATCTGTGAAAGAAAAAATTTGGTAACACATCACTACATAACGTGGCTTTTTATCCTGCTTCCCACAACCAAAGAGTCTAGAGTACTTGCAGCCGCTATTTTACACTCTTGTTAATTCTGACCAAAATCACAGTTAACAGTTTAGACTACTCTAGTTATTTTTTTCTTTACCTTAAGGATAGAAAATAGGGTCGATCTACCAAGAGGTTGAAAGCCAACTTCACTGCAATACAACTGATATAGTTTGACCATTCTGGAACTAATGACAGTGCGCACTAAGTCAGGTATCTCCAAACATTCTCCAGATGACATTTTTATCTTCCTTGTACCATAGGCTACATCCTGAAGGTAGTGAGGGCTACTTATAAAATCTAGGAAGTGGTCGACTTTCTCTCCTTCAAGACGATAACGCATCACGGGTTCTCTAACTTCAGAATGGCCTGCACCAACAACCACAGCATGCTTTCTTGCTTGATCAATTCGCCAAGTTGTGAGGCCTGGAACCAGGTCTTTCAGTTGCGTTTTAGTGTAGTGCTGCGCAAAAATAGACAAGATTGTCATTTTTGTATACAAGATGTCGCGCCTTCGTAAAGTGAAAGCAGGGTCGCCATAATGTTGTTTACTGGTTCAGGTTCTATTGGCGTTGGATTTGCGACCAATGCAAGAAGTTCATTAGACTGCCCTGGTGCAATACATTCTAGTGTTGTTCCTACTAGTTCTTTTGACTTGCGTCTTATGTAGGAGCGCGTGCTTCTGGCGACATCTTGAATTGGCTGCGTGAGTTGAAAGCGCACCGGACTAATTCTTCCACCGCTTAATCTTTCAATATGCTGATTTAGAACTTCCAGCCCGCGATTTGGTGTAGGTGTTGGAAGGTATTCTTCTTCCTCTTCTTCATCTAGACATAGCGATCGCATCAATGCAGGAATTGGAGTCATAATATCATCAAGGTGACTCTCCAGTCTATAGTATTCTCCTGGTTGAACCTTAAAAAAGAAATGAAATTTAGCCCTTTGTCGTGACGCGCAGGTGTCCGCAACACTAACGATGAATTTCGGTTTAGATTTTTCATGAACAAGTCAATTCCACATGCAGGGAGCGCATCACTTGATCATCATCACTTGTTTGGGCTTTCTGTATTAAAATAACAGAGTATAGTACATGCACCTGACACTACCCACCTGCACACGTCTTGGTCTGGACAAACTGGTTTCAAGTTCCTCAGCGATGTCATCCTCAAACACTTCACTTTCTGGCTTTCTTATATTCTTTACCAATTTCGTTTTGTATAGAGAAAAAGAAAAAGTGTCACCTTACTTCTGTTTTTGCCCCTTACACTTTTTATATGCCAAGCCCTTTGCATTGATTTATAAGTGTTTATTTTATAGCTAAATTTTATCTTGTTTAAGGAGCACTCTTTTCTTATAGTTTCCCGAATTTCAATTCAATTAAATTGATTGTTGCCTATGTTATAAATTTACCTACGTTCCCTGTTTATATGGTGGAAACGTTCCTTGGGTAGAAGTTTTAAACGCCGAGTTACCATGGGCGAGCCAACTGTTCCTAGGTTTCCTTACAAAACTTGGCCAACCCTTTAAATGCGAATCAAAAATTTGACTAAGCAGAAAGGGTTACGCGCCTAGTGGTGTCGATTCCGTCAAGAGGAGACAATCACCCTGATGTATAAGCCCTTTTTGGCTCGTGTCTTGTTTCTTATTTTTGGTGCGTCTGTTTTTTTTTTTCCTTAACAACGCTCGCTTAAGTTGACTTGGCAGGAAGAGTAACCCTCTTTCCCGGGACAACCGGGAAAATTACATAAACGAGTTTTCATTGTCCCCCGCGCCGTTAAGCAAAAGGGCGTGGTGGAACAAGAAAGAGACTTACATTCTAAGCGGCCAAAGCTGATACACCTGCATGGCTCTCTAATAGAAACCTTTTTTAATCCAACTAATAAACCATTTTTTATTACTGACTTTACTGCCGTAATAGTTTATGTAAATATACGTAAAACCACGATCAAGTTGTCGTAAGGTTTATCATGACGTAATGTGTACTTACCTGACATGTCGAACTCGTAGATGGTCCAAACTTCGAGTGCATGTCCAAACATTTCATGCAAATACCTAAAAGATCCGAAGAAGGAAGTGAGATTTTTTACGAACTTAGTCTTTAAATTAAACAATGTCAAATAAACTAAATATGAGCTAACCTTGTCCGATTTGACACAACACATTCCATTTCTGATATATTTCTTCCGATAAACGTTTAGTAATTCCTCTGGTCGGTTTTTGTTTGCTGTCATGCAGTGGATATTTGCATGCTTTGCTTGGTCGCCAGCCTAATCCGAACTCATCTCTGTGTAAGGGACAAATAGTTAAACAACCTCCGTCTTCCTGGAAGAGTCCTGCTCGGTAGAGGCAGAGTCTCCACTCAAAATCTACTCCTTTAGCCGTTGTTTTGTAGCAACCTCTCAGGTGAGGTAAAACGTCTTTTGTACACGTTTTTAATGGCACAATGGCTGTTTGTGCAGAGTATCGTCTGGACACACCGCATTCTTTACTAGAATAACACTTAAAAGAACACTCAGCCATCAGGATCGAAAGTGTGAAATCTGATATCATGTGATCTGCACCTGCAGTCACCACACGTCAAACGTCACGCAATCATTTCCTTCTGTTGTTCTGGTCAAACGTTTTGCTAGTTTCTCTTCAGAACAAAATCTATAGCTTCGTTTCAACTCAGGACAAAAAGAAGACTTATGCTCATTTTTATTCAAGTACCTGGTAAACAAAGGCAGAAGTGTAGACTGAAGTTGATTCCGCGGATCAAATCTGTTAGTTTATACGGCCTGTCGTTTATCTTTATTTTGATCACGTCTGTTTTGCTGTTTCATTGCTAGAGGTTATGACGACAACAGGAGCGTTTTATATTGAAAAAAGAAGGTAAGAGAAAAATTCACTAAATCGCCCTATTCGATTTAACTGTAAGCTGCTCGTGTTTAGAAATCCAAGTCATTTGTTAGTGCTGCCATAATCTCAGTTTAGGTGTGTTTTGGTGAAAATTACATTGTATCGCAAGGTGAACTAACCCGAATTTTTACATAAACACAATTTGTTTTAAGCGACACGGGATTATTTTAATGTAATAATGTCAATAAAAGTATTTTTTCTGTCACCCGTCGGATAAAGTTGATAAATATCAGCTAAATCAAGATTTTATGGTTGGCCTCATTTGCATTAGCGTTAAAAATAATGGTCACTTTCGGAATGCAAATAACAGTAATAAATAGTAACTTTACAAAGATTTTTTCCCACATATCGTAAGAATGTTTCTCTGATTAACTCAAGATGGCTTTAAACTTTATTAAAACAGCGCCGCATTTCTTTAAAGAGTCGCTTTTGAGACCATACTTCACTGGTGTCAGTTTTACTTGATTTATTTAAGTTTTTCTCTTACTAAGACGAAACAGAATTGAATAGTTAAGAGACCATTTTTCTTATGTTTAGGGTGCAAGCAATCCTTCGAAAAAAAATCATTTCATTTGGTTGATTATTTTGCGTGCACGAGGTGATCAAACAAGAGGTCATTTCTGCATGAAATTTTAGTCCATTTAACCGTTAAACCGTTTGATTGACATTTCTCCAAAACAATAGAATTTTGGGCTAAACTGTTCCACATCCTAAGTCAGTTAGTTAAGGTGCATAAGTGTGCCAAATATGAAGGGAATCGGAGAGATGGTCTGTAGACCACTCTGCATGGTTTTCAGATGGACGCTCTCTTAAATCACTTAAATCCGTGGTGAATTACCTGCGAACGTAACCTTGCATGGATATGTGGGGTCATAGTAGGTCCGCTTACGATTGAGACTGATGCATTGCAGTTAGGGCAATACCTTTGATGCGAGAGATTCTTGATGATTTAAAGATGAAGCATTTTGTCTGTCAAGTATACTCTCAATTATTTGTTACTTCTAGTGACTGCCATTCATTTTACCAATTAGCTATGTACTTACAGCCAGTATAGATTTGTCATTGGTTCAAACACTCGGGCAGGAAGAACCGTCAAAGAATTATGTGATAATTCCCTGCGTAGACGGAAATGTTTAATAAGTTAAATTACGATAGGTTTTGCCAAACAAATTAGACAGTCTCTATTGTTGTTTCAATTGGCTTTAATGCACTTTGAATTAAACTTACTTCCCCCCCCCCCTCTAGCTACGCCCCAGAAAATATCTTAAAATACTGACTTCGTTAGCGTAATGCAGTTTGTAAATTTTGGATTTACGCCATGTTATGCGCAGAGGTCCGAGAATTTACTACTGAGTACTGTATTGACCCTTAAGGCACTTCCCAGGCTCATTGCATTAATTTCATCATCCAGATGTAGGTTGTTAAAGAAAATTCTCAGCGCACAGACAGATTTTCAGCTTCTTCACTCCTTATGCATCTTTAAAAAAATGAAGCATTTTAAACATATTTAAAAAAGGAAAGTTCGGTACCCTGCAGGATTAGCCCCACGTAATCGCATTAATGAACAAATCCTGCTGTTCGTGCTCGATAAAACAAACTCTTTGTTTAGGGTAATTAAACATGCCACATAAAAATTTCAGCTAGTCCTCATTGACTTCGATTGGGAGATATTCCGGCATTTGTTACTAAAGCATAAGAAAGGTCTTGTTCAGTTTACTAGTTTACTTTTTACGAACGTACATTCTGTAAACATTTCTCAGAGTACCAAATACTCTCTCAGGTAAGAAGGAAATGGCGTTAAATGACAAAATCCTGAAAGAATCGACATGTTGACATTAGTAACACCGTATTATTTCATTTAAAACTATAAAAATGACGATAAAACAAAATAATATAAAGTTCAGAGACGATACTTACAGTACGTCTAATGTCGTC